ATGTAATGATAATATCTACTTTATAGGATTTTTTGAGAGAATTAAGATACTACATGAATGACACTTAACACAATTTCTAATATATAGTAATTCTTTCACAATTATTTCCTGGTATGAGGACTAGAAACCTGATTTATTCCCACTGGGAATGACTGTAGGAATAGAAAAGAGTCAAATTGGAGAAAGATTTGGAATTAGTGACAACTGAAAGTGGGTAGAGACAGAGAGGAAATGATCAAAGCTTTAATTTCTATCTGCAGTGACAGAACAAGGGCTGTACTGGCAAAAGAGCTACAAAGACAAGGAAGACCACTCTATAAGCAAGAGTTGAGGTGGGAAAAGAGAAAGTGATGTATGTTTAATTTGAATAAAGAAAGTGAAGTTGCTCAGTCACGTCTTACTCTTTGCGACCCCATGGACTGTAGCCTACCAAGCTCCTCTGTCCATGGAATTTTCCAGGCAAGAGCACTGGAGTGGGTTGCCATTTTCTTCTCTAGGAGGTCTTCCTGACCCAGGGATTGAACCCAGGTTTCCCACATTATAGGCAGAAGCTTTACCATCTGAGCCACCAGGGAAATCCTGTTTAATTTGAAGTATCTGTTCAACATGCAGAGGCGGTTTCATGAAGTTGAGGGTCTGAGACATAACTGGTAGTTAGAAACATGGGAGAATAAGACTTCTTAGATCAAATGCACAGGTGAACATTACAAAATGGCTGAAAAATTCAGTTTATTTACCTGGCACTCAAAGATGTTCTTATTAGCCTGTGTAGACCAGCATAAGAAGTACTAGGGTTTTGACATCTGACAGGTGGTGACATAGAAAAACAAAAAAATCTATAAGAGGTGGGACTCGAATTCAGGACACTAACCTAGCCCCAAGGCAGATCTCCCGGGAACTAGAGTCAGAGGGAGTGTTCCCAGGCCTAAACCTCAGTGTCCATAGGAGACCGCCAGTCTTGGTCTTCATCCAGACTTGCTATGACTCTGAGGGACCTGATCTGGGATAGGAGTGGGGATGCCCTGAGAGGTGTTTTTTGAAGTTGAGTGAATAGCAACTTTACAATTTCAGATATAGATCAGTCATGTGTGAGTCTATTGGAAACAAAACCTAGGCCTCAGGAGAAGGGCCTTATATCAGGGCCCAAGCAAGCAAGGCTGGATCTCAGGACAAGGCTTTGGTCCCAGTGGATTGCAAGCCAGGTGGAAACACAGCCTATTATAAACATGGACTGAGGGAAAGACATGTGGCTCAGTGGGTGTGGGAATTGCAGCCCTCACCCAGAACCCAGGATTAGGGCCAGAAGAGCAGTTCTAGGCCTCACCCTCCAGTGGAAATGGGGTACCTGACAGGGTTGGCCAGGACAGGCTTGGGACCTGGGTGGCGTTTATCCTACAGTTTTGAGGCTTCTAGAGCTCATGCAGGGATTGACTTCTTTAGCTTTCTAACTCTTCACTCTGGTCCTAAAATGTTCAATAAACTGACATTTCCTTGAAATTCCTAGTTCTGCCCTCTCCAGCTATCCAGATGTATCCCTAGCTTAGATTCCCAGGATTTCCATTATCCCTGCATATGTAGAAATGTCTGTGTATGTGCCCACACACTCAGCGGTGCCCTGCTTCCAACTGCTAGAAGGTGTGAATGCAACTGTGCTGTGCACCCATCATTGTTGAATACAGAATTGCCCAGTCTGCAGTCACTATTCCTTTGCAGTTTCTGCCCATTCTACCCTGTAACTCACACCTTTGTGCTCACCTAGCTCTAGGTTAAATGGCTTTACAGAAGTCAACAGATTGTTATTGACAGCAGCAGCAACAACTACATTTATTGAGTGCTTACTTTACATTAGTATTATCCTAAATGCTTAGGATAAAATCTTATTTCACCCTGAAACAACTCTACAAAATACTTATTATTATTCTGGTTTTACCAGTAAGGAAACCGAAACTCCTAAGAGGAGTAATCTGCTGCCAGTCATGCAGCTAGGAAGTGGCAAGACTTGGATTCTAAATGAGGACTCGCTCTAAAATCCATGCCTTTCACTATTGTGCTATAAAGAGGCAAATGTTTCTGAAAACATATTCTTTATTCTTTGGAAAACGAGCTTATGTGTATGTCACAAGAAACATACACATAAACTGAGTTGATTAACCTCTGTTAATAATTAAGGGAGTCCACGATTTTAAAAAATAATAATTAATGGTGTCCCATGGCTTGGTCAAGTGGTTAATCTCATTAACAGAGAACAGAGCTGAGAAGGAGGTTATTCTTCGTAATCATCTAATGAAGAAAACCCTATAGTTAACCCTTCCCCCAACACTTTTTGTGCTGCATCTGCCTCCTTTGCTGGTTTCATTCATCCTGGAAGAGCTAGGAAATATTTCATTTCCCAAATAGAGCCTGAATAGGTAGCAGAGAAGAAAGGTGGTTGGTCAACAGCCAGCACTGTGATTGGTCGATACCTGTGATTGGTCATCCAGCCTCAGCAACTGCTCACTGAAGTCATTTCACCTCTCTGTCCCGTTTGTTACCTGGAAAATCAGACTGTGAATAAGGATTTAAAGAATTACAAGGTTAAAAATTAATGCGATAGAATTCAAGGAGAAACTGTAAAACACACACACACACAAGTCTTTTCCTCATCTAGATTCTAGATGTGTGAGTTGGGAAGAACAGAATCAGTGACACCAGCATTTGGGGGTGATGGAGGGAAGCAGCAGGGCCTAGGAGGTTCTTTTTTGAGCTTCCAGATGGGAATTATCTTCCCCTTGATGGCACTGATCTACATAATCTGGCTATAATCAAACCTTTTGGTGATGAATGGTCATCAAGATTCAAGAGCCTCTGAATGGGAGTCAAGGGGAAGGGCAGGAAAGGTGAGGGAGGGCTCTCATTTGAGATGTACTATCTCTGGGTCATGGTCAAGGTGCTCTGAAAGAGTCCTCTCTCTGCAGGCACCCAGAGAGATAAGGTTTAACAACTCTGTTGAGTTAAGGAATATGAGGCTTATTTTACAGGTGAAGTTTGCTTAAGAAACTTCATTTAGGCCTTACCATTAGTGTGTAGCCAGATGAGATTCAAAGCCTTATCTCTTTGATTCCAATGTTCTTTTACTATACTATGCTGTTAATGTCCTTTAAACATAAATGTGAAATCCTAGAAATTGTCATATTAATAGTCATTCATTCATTTACTTGCCCATTCCTTTATTTATTCTATAGTAGCTATCCAGCACTTAAGGTTCAAACACTAAATCTTAAATACTCTGCTGTATTCACTTCCCAATTCCATAGGATGCAGAAACCTTTTCTTCCTAACAGGAATTAAAACCTAGTTTTCACAGTGCTTTTATGGAAGAGAGGCACTAGTCTGGAACTCAGAAGTGAGTACAAATATGGTATCTTGCCTTTGTTGAGCGAGCTATAAAGCTATTATTCATGACTCTATAGAGTCATGAATAAATGCATATTCAGGTTGTGAGAGTGAGTTTGCTTTGTGGGATGTCATCGTGACCATGGGCAGTAATGAAGGACAGTAGGCCCTCCTAGGAAGCTAGTCCTTCTGCCTCTGAAGTCCACCTGCAATTCTAGGGTAAAACTCTTTGCCTCAAGCTACCTGAAAGTGGCTTGGCAGCCTCTTGGTTTCACCTCTGGACCTTTTTATCCTATCTTTCTATTCATATTCCTTTTTTTTGCTTCTCATCATGATTCTGCTTCTGTTTCGAAGCAGAATTAGATCAAGCTAGAAACTCTTAACTCTCCCAGTAACCTGAAGAAGTTATGTTCTCTTTGTCTGGAGTTTCTAGACCTTACCATTGACTTCACAGAAGCCCTTTGCCTCTCAAACACTCCCCTGGGTTTTCATTCATAGCAACTTCCCTCTCTTTCTTGGACACCAAGCTTCAAATTGATCTTTGTAACCACTTAAACTTCTCATCTGCTTTCTAGTCTCCCCCCACCTCTTTTTGGATCACCTTCAAAGCTTTTGAACTTGGTCTACTGCTTTTGATCTGAAATTCTCCATTTCTCTCAAAGCCTTCTTTCCCCCTTAATCTCTGTCTCCTTTGCTTGGTCACCAGCTAGAAGGGAAGTCACTTCCTCCTAAATTCATACTTCCTGGATTCATTGTCCTCATTTATCAAACAGTTTATAGTGTCTATGGGCTTCAGGAGCTAGGACAGCTAAATAAGACATGTTACTTACTTGACCTGACAAGTCTGATGGCGTGAAAATAAGAACTTGCGAAATTGTTATAGTAAATGTCTGGCAGAGAATGCTGGGGACGCTATGGCACAAAGGAGGAAGTGATAAATAGATTGACTGGTCAGAGAAGGCTTGACAAGAAGCCTTTGAACTGTGTTTTAAAAGATGAGGAAGAGTTTCCCAGGAAGATAAGTGAGGGAAAAGCTTTCCATAAACAAGAAACATTATGTGCCAAGATCTAGAGGTGTGATATAGCACATCCCACTCAGGGAAACTGTTAGTTTGGTGTCCTCTGAGGTTGATACTCAAACAGAGGTGCTGCAAGAAGTGAGGCTCAGGAGGAATTAGACAATGAAGCACCTTAAATGCCTTGGTGAGAACTTTGGGTTTTGTTCTAAAGGCCGTGGAGGATGAGTGAAGGATTTTGAGAAGGAGATTTAGAAAGATAACCTAAAAAAAAAAATGAAAGTTAACCTGAGCTTATAGCAAGAAGAATGGACACATGTGGGCAACTGCAGGTGGAGAGACCAGACAAGAGATTATTGCAAAATTATAGGCAAAAAATGAGGAGAACATGCATGGAAGCAGTGGTAGTGGGGTTAAAGAGGGGGATGGAAATATTAAAGATGCTAAGAGGTCACGTTGACATGACTTTGTGACCAACTGGGTATTAGGAATGAGTGCAGGTTTCTGGACAGGGCAACCAGGTAGATATTGTGTTATTCATTGTGATGGAAAAAACAAGGTGAGGGACAGGAGAGGAAGGTAAGGCAGAGGGGCATGCCTGTGTAGCGTGAGGTGAGGCCCAGGATCCAGACGCTGTGTGGACGTCTCCGTTCTGTCTTGCAGCCGCGGCTGAAGGCCTCCAGGTCACAGTGCCCGACAAGAGGAAGGTGGCCATGCTTTTCCAGCCCGCTGTGCTGCATTGCCGCTTCTCCACGTCCTCCCGCCAGCCGGCGGTCGTCCAGTGGAAGTTCAAGTCCTACTGCCAGGATCGCGTCGGGGAGTCCCTGGGCATGTCATCTCCACGGGCCCAGTCTCTCAGTAAAAGAAACCTGGAGTGGGACCCTTACTTGGATTGCTTAGACAGCAGGAGGACTGTTCGAGTGGTAGCTTCTAAACAGGGCTCGACTGTGACCCTGGGAGATTTCTACAGGGGCAGAGAGATCACGATTGTTCACGGTAATAATGCCTCTGTTTTTAAGGAATGGGAGGGAGGTTGGGTTCATTCTTCACAGGTGCAAGAGGATGTCAGCCGTGCACCCTTTCAGTCTCTCAAGACTTTGATTTTATGGGAGATGATAGCATCATGAGCTTGACCTTTAGTCTGATAATAGATTATCAGCACTGAATTGAAATGGGTCCTAGTGAAAGTGTTCTCAGTCAAATACTTTACACCTGACACCAGCCTTTATTGCCCTTGACTCAGAAAGTAAACTTCCCTAAGAAGTTCTCTGCTGGGAAAGGGATGATGTGTCTAAGGGCAGAGCCAGGTCAGTGCACGGCCCAAGTCCCAGGCAGTTTTGCATCTGTTCCACTCTTTCTCCTGGTCCCTAAAGCTTTGGAGAAGAGAAGGTCCAAAGTCTGGTATGACCTACTTGATATTGGAATTTTGAAGAACTGCTGTGAACCTGTCTTGGACTTCCCTGGCGGCTCAGACGGTGAAGACTCTGCCTGCAATGCAGGAAACCCGGTTTCCATTTCTGGGTTGGGAAGATCCCCTGGAGAAGGAAATGGCAAACCTCTCCAGTATTCTTGCCTGGAAAATCCCATGGACAGAAGAGCCTGGCAGGCTAACAGTCTATGGGGTTGCAAAGAATCAGATATGACTGAGTGACTTAACACTTTTCACTTCCTGTGAACTCAGCTTATTTCCAGGAGTCCAGGTTAATTCTGGGATTTACTTGGTTTTCAGGGACCTCTGTAAGCCTGGTTGAAAGCAAGTGTTCTATTCCTGAAACCAGCCTGCAACTAGACCAGTTTCTGGGTGTGAATTCTCTCGCCTTAGGGATGCTAGTTTTTACTATTGCTTTGTTGTTTGTTTGTTTTCAGTAAAGCAAACATCACGTCAGCCACCATTCAGGTAAAAAAATAGAACATTGCAGACACCCAGAAGCACCCCACTTTCACCTACCCTCTGTTGCTCACTGTTTTCTTCAAAGGACAGAATTTAGAACCAGGTCCTTCTCTTTGTGATAACAGATGCAGATCTTCAAATTGGAAAACTCATGTGGGGAGACAGCGGACTGTATTACTGCATCATCACCACCCCTGATGACCTGGAGGGCAAGAACGAGGATTCCGTGGAGGTACTGGTGCTGGGTAGGTGACAGCCCTCAGCAATATTTTCATCTTAGCCCGCTTGCACTGCTTCTTCTCACTTCTCCCTGCATGTATCAACAGGTGGCACACACAGGCTTTATCTTTGGTGCACAAACTGATTTTAGAATATGGTCTCTATGAGCAGTAGCCGTATTTGTTATATTTTGTTTCTTGGCTGCTATGATCCCCTTTTTCGCATTGCCTAAATGTTTCTTCTGCTTTCTTAGTTTTTTTCTCCTCCTTTCCACTTGTACCTTTAACCCTGATTTCTTTCTGCTTATTCTTTACATATGCTACTAGTGAGGAAAATGCCAGACACCTTTGAAGCAGGGTAGAGACAGGAATTCACTGGTGTATTAGGATCTCTTGAGGCCTTTGGGAATCTTTTCCCATCATTCAATTATCTCCCCTTAAGGCAATCCTAAGGAAAGATGGCTGTGCACTTTTAGTAATAAAAGGTACCCAGTGAAAAGAGCTCTGGGGTAGACCTACTAGTGTTTAATTGCAGGGCAAATTTCTTGAAAGCTAAAAGTGCCTGAATTAGTCTCAAAGCAAATATAATCTAATCCTTATTAATATTAATTCCCTCAGAAATGAAAACTCATTACTTTTGGCTACTGTTCTCTTTTGTGGATTAGAAGAATGTCAGTAGGAAATGACCTCCTTGTATGAAACTGAAGAACTGAGCACATATTTCATGCTCTATAAATGTTAGTTGAACAAGAAAATTGGAATAAAACATACAGAAATTAAGAAACAACATTAACTGTAGGATAAAATGTATGTCCTTGAAGTGATTTTCAAAAGAAATTACATTTTTTGTAGCTTCTAAGAAACCAGGTGATAACAATTTGGGGCCATAAATAAGGTGCTTTCTTTTAGGGCAAATAAAATTAAAGGTTAATTTTTACCTGCTGTGAGAAATTCAGTGCCCAGGGAGAAAATGGAATTTTCTGCTTAAAATTTTTAGTTTTACTCTATCATGACTGGCAAATCAGGTTTACTGTTGCCTTAATTTTACAGTTTACAAAATGGACTGAGGTAACTATTAATTATTAACCCTTTAATAATAATCAATGAATTGATGCTTTCAAATTGTGGTGCTGGAGAAAACTCTTGAGTCCCTTGGACTGAAAGGAGATCAAACCAGTCAATCCTAAAGGAAATCGACCCTGAATATTCATTGGAAGGACTGATGTTGAAGCTCCAATACACTGAGCACCTGATGTGAAGAGCCGAGGCTTGGGGAGAGACCCTTATGCTGGGAAAGGCTGAAGGCAAGAGGAGAAGGGCGCAGCAGAGGGTGAGACAGTTAGGTGCCATCACTGACTCAAAGTGCATGAATCTGAGCAAAGCCTGGGAGACAGTGAAGGACAGAGGAGCCTGGCATGCTGCAATGAATGACTGCCGTGATCTCTAAAAGAATGGGAAATATGACATATATTCAAAAGGGAATAAAAATGTAAACGGTTTATGTTGACATTGTAAAAGACTACAGGACAGTCAGATTCAGGATCTGCTCTGACTCTGTAAATCTGTAGGAAATAAAAAGATAAATTTCTGCCTAATAACACAACTCTAATGGTCAAGTTTGAAGGAACAAGCGGCTCATTGAGCCTGCAATTAGCTAATTGTGAACACAAGTTATTTGGCCAGTGCAGCCATTTGCAGCAAAGTAATTGCTTGTGAAGGAAAAGGAGGCCAGGTAAAAACCACTTGAAATAATTTGGTCCCACTTCTGCAAATGTGGGGAAATAATAGAGTGAAAGCCTTGTCACTAGAGGATATGCTGAAGTATATGAAGGGCATTCCTCTGATTTGAAACATACAGGGTAACTTGCGCAAAGATGCTATCCTCAGGACCAAAAGTGGGATGAAAGGAAGGGTCAGCAATGATGGGAGAAAAGATAAGAAAAATTAGTGTTACCCAAAAAAGGGATCAGAAAGACCAAATGTGGATGCTGCAAATCAGAGAGAAGCAGCACATTTGTGAGATAAACAGATACACAGTGGAGTTCGTAGGGAGGAGAAACACGTCATTCTGCTATTGTTGTGGTTTAGTCGCTAAGTTGTGTCCGACTCTTTTGCAACCCCAGGGACTGTAGCTCACCAGGCTCCTCTGTCCATGAGATTTCCCAGAGAAGAATACTGGAGTCTGTTGCCATTTCCTTCTCCAGGGGATCTTCCTGACCCAGGGATCGAACCCGGGACTCCTGCTGCTTCTCCTGCATGTCAGGCAGATTCTTTTCCACTGAGCCACTGGGGAAGCCAGTATCCCACATTAATTAGAAATGTTCAAAGCATGGTAAACTTGCCATGTAAACATTTTAGGGCAACACTGGTTGTGTTAGTTAATTAAAGGTGTTAGTCTGAAATCTAGGAGAATTTTCTGAATGCAGTATTTACTTTCCAAATGCAACATTCTGAATCTTCTTGGTCTTGACACCCCATTATGGAATTTTTCAAAATATTGTCACAGTTTTAAAAATTCTAATTATTTAGTGGTTATATCCTGCAGGCCTGTTCATGAGGTATTCTTTTTATGTGAGACCAAGAGAGCAGCCTGATTTCTGAAGTCAACCTCAAGGAGATAAAGACCTCAGTAGGAAGAAAATGGTCCACAGTGTGCTGACTACAACTGTCATGAGCCACTTGCGGTCACTGAACTTACTATGAGGAATAGTTGGAGGAACTGGGAGGATTTGGTCTTCTGAAAGAGGACTTGGGAAAGGGAGCATGGGAAGTCTCTCCAGATATCTGAAGTGAAATTGTGTAGGAGAGATTGGAAACTTACCCTATGTAGCTAGGTAAAACTAGAGCCAGGAGTGGAGTCTGTCTCAGGATAAAGAAAGGACTGTTAACAATTGGAGAGACATCTGAAGATGCAGTGTTCTTAGGAGTATTAATTTCTATGTCCTTAAGAAGGTGGAAGATTTCTTTTGAGTTATTGTATCAGGTATTTATAGGAAAAGGTGTTCAACTCACTTATTTTTTAGCTTTATTTCAAATTTAAAATTATTGGTTTAAAAAGTAGATAAATATGAGTGATGTGACTACTCTGATAAATGAGAAAATGACTTCCCGGTAATTCAGTCTTCATGACAGAGATAAAAGGGTTACAAGTTGCTCACAAGAACATGCAGGATAGCATTCACTCAAAAGGAAGCCAGTGGGGATGCACTGTGGTCTTCTGTGGTAGGTCAGTGTTAAAAGAACTGATTCCACAAGAATAAGAGTAAACCTGATGCAGGCTTGTAGGAACTGGAATGAGCTCTTCTTAGAGGATGATCACAGCATGAGGAATAGAAAACTGTAGAATTTCAGATGACCAATTAGTAAGGGAGATAGTTAAAGGAATAAATCAGAGGCAAAGTTAAGAAGAATTTGTTTTTTTTCATTATACTCGCAAAGGTAAAGTGGGAAAAGTTAATGGAGCAAGGTTATGAAGTGTCTTATATGTCAGACTAAGAACTTTGTGTTCCATCTGAAGACTTTGGGGAGCCAGTGAAGAAGCCATCACAGAGCAATGAAATTAGATTTCAGGATCAGAATAAAAGTAGCAGAGTAGACAATACATTAGAGAGGATCAGTTATGGGGTACTGCAGCAGCATGCGTGAAAGGGCATGAGATTCTGGACCAGAGTAATGAACTGAGAACAGACAGCATGGAAACATTTCTGAGAGGGAAGTGATGGATTCTGAGAGAGAGGAATGAGTCCAAAGGACACCGTGATTTATAGTTAACTGGGTAGCCAACTGTTCTGTCAACCAAGAGAGAGGCTACAGATTGGAAACCAGGTTAGAGAGGCAGGAGAATGAGTTTGGTTCTTAATACATGGAATGTGAGATGTCTTGATGACAATTAGAAATATGGTCTGGAATTCAGTGGAAAAACAGGGATTAGAGATAATAGATTTGAGAGTCATGAATGATAGTCACAACCATGAAAGAATAGATGAGTCACCCAAAAAGATTATATAAAGTGAAAAGGGCCAAGGACAGAACCTTATCAGTCTTATATTCTAGTCTGACTTCATGTGAGTGGTGACATTGGTACTGCGTGTATATTTGTCTTAATTTCCCTTACAACACTGGGCCCTTCTCAGTAGCACTGGAACATGAGTTCTTCAATGGCCAGGACCAGTTCTCATTCATCTATTTGCACTGGTTTGCAGAGTCTCTAGAATAAAGAAGTTTAAGTGAATGTTTTTGTAAATGATAAATGGGCAGAATCTGTAACTAATACTTACTTTGTACGTCTTAAATATTAGTCAATGCTGAGTATGTATTTGTTGACTTATGAAGTGTTAATACAATAAATGTTTACAGTCTCAAGTGAGATATAACATCGTTTAATCTCATTGGTCATGATTCTTTATCTAGGTATTTAAATTTTTCCTAGTGACAGAACCATCAGGAAATATGGTTGAAGCCACAATACCACACAACCTGTCTATATTACGAAGCTATAGAATTCTCCCTGGCATCAATCATGTTTTCAACAATGTAACTGCTGCTTTAGGTAATGGTTTTTACTTGTCCCAGATTTGCTTTAGTGCTTCATTTCATTTCTCAGTGAAACGGCCTATAATCATTAACCTAGGCCCTCACTTCAAAGACATAGTTGTCCTTGTCTGCACTGCGTCCTCCCCACTGAGTATGACCTACCTTCTTTCCCCATACATCTGAACCATCTACGAATTGCTGCTGATGCTTCTTTCAGAGGTTCAGAAATATCCAAAGATGTGATTTAGAGAAATGCGAGGATAACCGCTGATTCACCATTAAACTCAAACACTATACTGAACACTTTGTTATCTCTCTTTGATGATTCAGAAGGTAGAATCATTCTGAAGAAATGCACGTGGTGTTTAGGGTGCCTTGAGATGATAGTGACAGGAACCTTAGAAATATTTAGATATGTTTCGGATCGTAGGGCCATACCAGCAGACAGTTACAGAAGGTGGAAGTGTCCAGAAAATCTGCAACCCTGAGATTAG